ATTACAGATGCCCTTATAGAAAATAAAGTGGTACTCATAGAATCTTCCAGCCCCGATGATGATGGCGGCAGTGGCCGTGGAGAAGGCTGCCAGGGCGAGCAGGGTCCTCAGCAGGGCCTGGTGAGGAGCGGATGCAGAGAGAGACCTTGGAGGAGACTCAGTCTCTCTGGCACCCAGCCAGGGGTCAGAGGTGGGGCCGGGGGAAGCCCAGGGGAGAGTGTGTGATGGAGCCGGACGGGATGCTTGGGACGGCCTCCAACTTCTGGGCCTGGTGCTAACCCCTGCCCTTCCCCAACTCACCCAGTAGATGCCACCTCGTTTCTCGTAAATGAAGGCGACAGCTCCAGCCAGCACAGCCTGGGGAGAGGTTGAAGCTGCTGGGTTCGTGCAGAACCCCCAACTCCCCTATCCCCTGCCCCCTCCCCAGCTGCCTGCTTCCTTTTTCCTCCATGACTCCCTCAGCCATCTAGCTGGCCCTTCCCCATAACACTCCACACAGGCCCAAGGTCTGTGGTCTGTAAGATCACGGGGAGAGTATTGAGGCCTGAATTAAAACTCCTGAGTCCTACAGGATGTCCCCTACTTAGGGGACACCAGACAAATGCTCATGGTCAAGCCAGGAGTGAGCCCTTCTTCCCTTCTCCAAACTCTCTCTTTCGAGGCAGCACCAGGGGCTTTACGAAAGCTCCAGGGTGGTGGGGTGGAAGGTCCAGGTTGTTGGAGGAGCTCTCGGTACAGGATGAGGGTCAGCCATCTCCGACTGGGCGTGGGCGCCCATTCCAACAGCGCTCAGTCTCCCACCCAGCGGGGCTTCCAGGACACGAAGCCTGGTCGATCCCGGAGGACAGATGGATCAGGATCCTGTTTGGCAATGTTGTAGCTCATCTCAGTGTGTTTTTGCCATGGGGTGGGTGAGGATGGTTACTTTTGACTCCTCTCTTCATACGTGTGCTTTGTTGTTCTGTGAGTGTGGGCAGGACACGGGGTGCCTTGGTCCTGCCATGACCTGCCCCCCCATCTCCTGCTGCAGGTGGCATACCCCTTTCTGCTGACATCACCACTGTGGTCCAGGGATTCCCCCTCCCCCGGGAGCCCCATGTGCAGGACCCGCAGAGGACCATGTGAAGCCACCAGGAGGTGACCCTGGCTTGCACACCCTCCGGCACGTCCTGCCTCCCCATCTCAAAGCAGTGCCGGCGTCTAGAGATGAGCCCGCCCCAAGATCCTCAGCTGATCTCCTGCTGAAGGTGGGAGAAGCGGTGGGGAGGCCCCGGGCAGGGACCTGGGAGAGCTGACCAGTGACCGTGGCCCTCCCAGCCCTTGCTCAACTGGTTGCCCATCTGTAGAAGCAGGGCGTCGGCCTGGAGGAGCCAGGGATGTGTTCGGGTGCTAACAGTCCACATTTTGATGAGGTCAATGGTAACGGTCTCTCTCTCCTTGGGTCCATTCTGTCCACCACCCTCCCGCCCCACTCACCACAGCCCCCGTCCAGATGGGAGCTCCCGAATTCCGCAGGGTGGTGGAGGAGAAGATATAGAGGAATCCTCCCAGGATCCCACTTAGCACCCCCAGCAAGATCTGCACCACCTGAAAGATGAGAAACCTAAGCACACGGTTCCTGGGAGCAGCCCTCTGCGCCTAAGTCTCAGGGTAGCTTTGGGGAGACCTGCCACTCCAGGTATTAACAGAACCTCATGAAAGAGAGAGAAAAACAAGGTGGGAAAGGAAGGCAGAGGAGAGGAGGACAAAGAAGGAGGGGGGAGGGAGAGGATGAGCTCAGGGTTCCCCCAGCTGGGACTTTAAATGGTCAGGGGCTCCTTTGTGCCCTTCAGCCCATAGCCTACCCTACCTACAGCTCTCATTGAGAGGTAAGTGAAGGGGGGGAAAGTAGGAACTTGGTCTCCGGTTAGAAGATAAAGCTGGCTTAGCATCCTGTTAAGAGCAAGACTGGCAGGGAGCATGCACAGTGAGAGGAGAGGGGCTTCCCCTTCCAGGTCTGGGGAGCCTAGGTTCCTGTCTGCGCCCCTCAGCGTTACTCACCCAGGAGGTCAGCAGCAGCCGGTGGCGGCCCAGGGCCCGAGAGGTGGCACGGGGCCTGGGCAGGAGGAGGGGCTGCAGCAGGGAGCACCCACCTAGCAGGAGCTTGGCCAGACCTGACTCGTGGTGGAAGTGCACCTGGATGTAGGCGGGTTGGGGAGCCCTGGGGGCCTCCTCCCCGCGGTCCACCGTCTCCATGCCTCTGGACACCTGTCTGGCGGGGAGGAAGAGAGCATCAGGGGCGAAGAGTGGGCAGGAGGAGGTTGGCACGGATCCCACAGGAGCTGGCGGAGACCCCCCCCGGGTCACAGAGCAGCACCCAGGACCTGTCTTGAGGGGGCATCTCGTGAAGGATGCTCAAGTCTCCCAAGGCTGGGACCACTGCTCGGTCCATGGGGCCTCCCTTCACCCCAGACCTTCCCTCCATCCTCCTCCCATCACCTTGGGGGCTGGACCAGGCTGTATCCCAGAGTTCTCACTTCTCCCCTCTGCCCCCAGCAGGCCAGGCTTGTGCCACCTCAGCACCCCCCGCCCCCGGCTCCTCTCTCCGCCTCTCCCCCTCGGGAGCTCCCAGGCTGCTGAGCAGAACCGAGTCCTGGCTGCCTGCTGAACTTCTCTGGAAGCAGCTGTTCCCTAGCTGAGTCTGGGAACCCTCCAGCAACCCCTAAATATTTCCCCACCGATGGCTCCTCAGTCCTATTCTAACTGCCCAACCTCCACCACCCCCAGGCCCCACCGCCCTGCCCAGCCCCACCAACAGGATGAAGGATGAAGCCATGAAGGAGACAGAGACCAAAGGTGGGAACGACTTGGCATCAATGCATCTGGCCCCCGACTCCTGCACCGTCCTGGAGGCCCGTCCTCTGCAGGGGAGGTTGGCCCCTCCCTCTCTCCCTGCCCAGCAAGTTCTGGAGGGCCTGTGGCGGCAGGGTGGGGCCTCCTCTGAGAAGGGTCCTGGGGGAAAGGCCCCCCCTCCGCCCAGGCTATGGACCTGCCTCACCTGCTTTCCTCAGGGACCGGCAGTGGAGAGTGGTGGTCAGGGCTGGGGAGACCCGAGCCGGGCAGAAGCAGGAGGTACTTGGTGGAGTGCCAGCGGGGAAGGATGAGGCAATGTCCCAGCGCACGGCTGGAGCACGGGGCCCCTCCAAGGCTTTCCAGCTGCCGGGAAAGCCAGGCTCCGGCGTCCAGGAGAGCGCAAGGGCCAGGTGGGTGGCCTGGGAGACTGAAGAGCTGACCAGCCTGGGGAAACCCGAAGAGGCCATTCTGTCTCCCATCCCCACCAGGGCAGGGGCTTTCCGATCAAGGATTCCCCTAGTGTGTGTGCTGTCTGAGTAGGCGTGGATGTGCCGGGGTGTGTGTGTGTGTGTGTGTGTGTGTGTGTTCGTGTTCTCTGCCTTCTCCGGCCAGCCTGACTGTCTACTCAAGACCAAATCCCCCCTAGAGGGGCCCCTTTGGCCCAGCCTCTTTCTGTGAAGTCAAGATGCTGAAGGTCAGGTCCTCATCACTCCACCCCTTCCTTCTGCTCTTCCCCCACCCCCCAGCGGGTCTCAGCTCTGGGCAGCTCCTCCCAGCTCTGCCTGCCTCGGCCGCTGGCTCCCAGAGGACAGCAGGTGAGCAGGAGCCTTCATAGCCTAGGCGATCCCCCCTCTTAGGAGACGCTCACTGCCAGACCCCACCCCCCCAACTCTCTCTAGGAGGCTCCAAGACCAGTCCCCAAAGCCCCCATCCTGTCTCACAGGATGCCATTCTCCCTGGTTCCTGGTTCCCCTAGGACCTGCTTGGAAGGGAGGGATACATTAGTGAGAGGATGGGACCCTAGAAAAATGCCTGGGGAGGGCTGGGAGCCCGCGTCTGGCCACATCAACTGGGCGGCTGTCCTTCCCTAGTGCCTCATGCCTCTATTCCAGGGGTGAGGCGGCTGAGGCTAAGCAGGGTTTGCGGTAAGACATCTTTTGGTAGGAAAGGTGGAAGGTGGAGGGCCCAGGGTATAGCTTGGGCCCTGGCCCTTTCTCTACTGCTTGAGGAGGAACAGGGAGGAGCCGGGCAGAGAGGAGGGTCCAGGGCTGTGAGGAAGAGCTCCATAGCCTGGAGTCAGGGTGGGTGTGAAAGGGAACCTTCCTGGGACTGGTCTGGCTCTGAGGAAGAGCAGGAATCTAGGCTGATCTGGGGACTGGAGTTGGAAGCGGGGATGGAAAGGGGAAGTGGTGGTACCCAGAGGACTTGGGGGGATGGAGGGGGGAGTTCATGGTACCCAGAGGACTTGGCGGTGAGGGGGGAGGTGGTGGTACCCAGAGGACTTGGGGGTGGAGGGGGGAGGATGTCATGGTACCCAGAGGACTTGGAGAGGGGTGGGGGGGAAGTGCTGGTACCCAGAAACTTGGAGGGAGGTGGAGGGGGGAGGTAGCAGTATCCGGAGGACTTGGGGACAGTGGAGGGGGAAAGAGGTGGTACCCAGAGGACTTAGGCAGTGGAGAGTGGTGGTCAGGGCTGGGGAGACCCGAGCCGGGCAGAAGCAGGAGGTACTTGGTGGAGTGCCAGCGGGGAAGGATGAGGCAATGTCCCAGCGCACGGCTGGAGCACGGGGCCCCTCCAAGGCTTTCCAGCTGCCGGGAAAGCCAGGCTCCGGCGTCCAGGAGAGCGCAAGGGCCAGGTGGGTGGCCTGGGAGACTGAAGAGCTGACCAGCCTGGGGAAACCCGAAGAGGCCATTCTGTCTCCCATCCCCACCAGGGCAGGGGCTTTCCGATCAAGGATTCCCCTAGTGTGTGTGCTGTCTGAGTAGGCGTGGATGTGCCGGGGTGTGTGTGTGTGTGTGTGTGTGTGTGTGTTCGTGTTCTCTGCCTTCTCCGGCCAGCCTGACTGTCTACTCAAGACCAAATCCCCCCTAGAGGGGCCCCTTTGGCCCAGCCTCTTTCTGTGAAGTCAAGATGCTGAAGGTCAGGTCCTCATCACTCCACCCCTTCCTTCTGCTCTTCCCCCACCCCCCAGCGGGTCTCAGCTCTGGGCAGCTCCTCCCAGCTCTGCCTGCCTCGGCCGCTGGCTCCCAGAGGACAGCAGGTGAGCAGGAGCCTTCATAGCCTAGGCGATCCCCCCTCTTAGGAGACGCTCACTGCCAGACCCCACCCCCCCAACTCTCTCTAGGAGGCTCCAAGACCAGTCCCCAAAGCCCCCATCCTGTCTCACAGGATGCCATTCTCCCTGGTTCCTGGTTCCCCTAGGACCTGCTTGGAAGGGAGGGATACATTAGTGAGAGGATGGGACCCTAGAAAAATGCCTGGGGAGGGCTGGGAGCCCGCGTCTGGCCACATCAACTGGGCGGCTGTCCTTCCCTAGTGCCTCATGCCTCTATTCCAGGGGTGAGGCGGCTGAGGCTAAGCAGGGTTTGCGGTAAGACATCTTTTGGTAGGAAAGGTGGAAGGTGGAGGGCCCAGGGTATAGCTTGGGCCCTGGCCCTTTCTCTACTGCTTGAGGAGGAACAGGGAGGAGCCGGGCAGAGAGGAGGGTCCAGGGCTGTGAGGAAGAGCTCCATAGCCTGGAGTCAGGGTGGGTGTGAAAGGGAACCTTCCTGGGACTGGTCTGGCTCTGAGGAAGAGCAGGAATCTAGGCTGATCTGGGGACTGGAGTTGGAAGCGGGGATGGAAGGGGGAAGTGGTGGTACCCAGAGGACTTGGGGGGATGGAGGGGGGAGTTCATGGTACCCAGAGGACTTGGCGGTGAGGGGGGAGGTGGTGGTACCCAGAGGACTTGGGGGTGGAGGGGGGAGGATGTCATGGTACCCAGAGGACTTGGAGAGGGGTGGGGGGGAAGTGCTGGTACCCAGAAACTTGGAGGGAGGTGGAGGGGGGAAGTGCTGGTACCCAGAAACTTGGAGGGAGGTGGAGGGGGGAGGTAGCAGTACCCGGAGGCCTTGGGGACAGTGGAGGGGGAAAGAGGTGGTACCCAGAGGACTTGGGGGGGGTGGGAAAGAGGTGATACCCAGAGGACTTGGAGGCAGCAGGAGCTTAAGGCACGTCTGGGCCTCAATATGATGCTGATTCCTGGAGCCCAAGGATGATCCAGCTAGAATCCTGACTAGGCTTCCTGGCATGGGTCTGTGAACAGGTCTGAACCTCCTCGCACATCTGCACAATTGTCTGACACCCGACTTGTATCCTTCACAGGAGGCCAGGTAGGTGAAGCATGAAGCTGCTCTGAGAAGCTCATACAATACAGATGGGAAGACTTTAAGTTTATTGTCTTCGCTGGTGTTATTAGAATAGTTATTAATAATGCTCTGATTTAAACAGTGATCATTAGGATGACCATGAGAATTGCTTGTAGGGGATTTCTTTTGGAATGAGGCATGTTGATTCCAAAATATGCAAGGAGAAGTAATCTAGCAAAAGTGACCATCAAAGAGAAAAGTAACATGGTGAGGGGGTCAATGAAATAGCTCAACTAAATATTAAACTCTGTATTCATAGTTAAAATTATGGTCATGGTGCATGACTCATCAGATCCACCAATGGGCTGGTTAGAGGCTAAAACAGGCTTGGTTTCCTATGGGAATTTCATTTTTGCTCCAGGGAATATTTTAAATCAGTGGGAGAAAGATGACGCATTCCGTAAACAGGATATATTTTCAGAAGTTTAGCATCTGAAAAAAACAAAACCAATTTGGATCTATTTTTCCCAGCTTACAAGGTAAGTTCCAGATAGATCAACATTTAAATGTGAAAACTGAAAACATAAAAGCACTTAGAAGAAAACAGGGAAGAATTATTATTTCATGATCTTGACATCTCAAAGTCCTTTTTAAGTACGATATAAAACCCAGAAATCATAAAAATTGACTGAAAACTTTCATTATATATAAAAATACAAGCTAAGTCAAAAATAAATTACAGATATTAAAGCCCTATCTGCAAGTCATGTCACAGGTGGTAATTTTTCAAACACACAAAGAACTCCTGTAAAGACCAAAACAAAACAAGAAAACAAGGCCGTCATAGGATATGAAAGGGAAGCTCACCAAAGAAGAGGAAAAAGGCTCTTAAACATGAAAAGAAAGTCAACCTCAGTCATAATGGGAGAATTAACAATATTGGAATAGTCACAGAAGTGGATTGGAATAGTCACAGAAAGCATATTAGAAAATGGTAATAGTTTTCTGCCTGGAAGGCAACTAGCTGGCTAGGAGAGCAACATAGGACAGAGGATTTTAGCAGTATACACTTATTTATCTTTTGATTTTTTTTAACCATATAAAAGTATTATGTGTAAATATATATACCATGTTGCTAAAATAATTCAGATTCCTTTCTTTGTTAATCCCAAGCCCCAGACAAACTGTGTCTGACCATTTGGGGAAGAGACCGCAGAATACATACAGTGAAAACTCTACAGGTGATTCAGATTTGTATTCCAAATTAAGATCAGGGACTTCTCTGGTGGTTCAGTGGTTAAGACTCTGAACTTTCTAGGCTGGGGCGTGGGTTCAATCCCTGGTCAAAGAACTGAGATCCCACATGCAGGGACTTGACAAGGAGACTATTTTCTTTCCCCGCAGTCGTGCTGTGTATTCCTTTTCCTCTTCCTCCGCTCTCAGACCTCACTCCTGTACATCTCTCCAGTAGGAAGGATGGCCCAGAACATGCTGACTGTGAATGGAGTTGATGTGGGCTCTACGCTGTCCCAGCCCACACACATTGACATCCACATCCACCAGGAATCCGCTTTGGCTCAACTGCTAAAAGCTGGGAGTTCCCTGGTGGAGCGCCTGTCTCACCGTCCTGCCAAGGCCAGGATAGGCTATGGACAGCTGGCACTAGGGGTAAGAATGGGTTGGCTGGAGAGGTGGGTTAGCAAGGTGACCCAGAGGTAGGTAACGCTCCTTCTCCAATATGATGTGAGAAAAGAAAGTAGGTGGAATCCCCATGAAAACTCACAATTTGTATCCCCGCCTGTTTGGAAGTTTCGACACAAAGATCGAGATGGAAAGAAGTAAGGGATCACTTCTCTGGTGCAATGTGAGCAGTCCCAGCCAGAGGTAGGGGTAGGTAGGTGGAAGTATCGCTGGAGGCTGTTGAACCCATGTGGACCGAGGGCCTACAGATGCCAGGTGATATGATAGGCACGTTGGGGGGAAGACTTAAGCCAGAATCCCTCGGTAATCACCTCAAGGTGCTCAGCATCCCTCAGAAAGGTCAGGCAACTACACAAACACCTAGAGGTAAAGGTATATCAGGTGGCCACCTGATGCCAAGAGCCAACTCATCAGAAAAGACCCTGATGCTGGGAAAGATCAAAGGCAAAAGGAGAAGAGGGCAGCAGAAGATGAGATGGTTGTTTGGCATGACTGATTCAATGGATATGAGCTTGTAAGCAAGCTCCAGGAGTTGGTGATGGACAGGGAAGCCTGGTGTGCTGCAGTCCATGGGGCTGCAAGAGTTGGACACAACTGAGAGACTGAACAACAACAGGTAACGTGCTTGGAAGACTGGACGGCCTCCTGCAGAGGGCCTCCTGCAGGGGATGGCATCTGAGCCAGACCTTGAATGGAGAAGAAATGTTTTTGACAGATAGAGGTGGAGGATGGGAGGAAAGGAATTTCAGGTTTCGAGAATAGCTAAAACAAGGACAAAGAAGCCAGAAAGCATAAGGCAGGTTCTGTCAGAGTAAAGAGAATGAGACTCCTGGCTGATTAGACTGGAAATATACACCAGTACTGCTGAGAGCCTTGAGTGACTAGCTGAGGAGTTTGTCGTGGATCAGCTTCGATGGTGGGAAGGACTGGATGTGGAGGGATTCTGGGGCAGGCACCTGAGCTTCAGGCAGCCTCCCAGCCAGGTGGTGTCCAGGTTAGAAGTATGGAGGGTCGGCACCTGTGAGGCAACAGCAAAAATGATGAGGAGAGAGGAGTCCAAGTCTTCGGTGGGTGGGGTCACTTGGGAGTGGGTGGACTTGGGGTACCAGGGAGGAGAGGAGTCTGAGAGGATGCTGAGGTTTGGAGTGAGGGTGACCAGAAGACTGGAGCCCTGGAAGTCAGCGAGGCAGACCCTGGGGGTGTGGGGTGTGGGGTCTGGCATTTGGACGTGATGAATCTGAGAGGCTGGCAGGACATGTAGGTGATGATGTCCAGGTAGGTGGTGACGTCCAAGAAGCTGTGATAGCCAGATCCTTCAGGAAACAGACACTGAGTGGGGAGCTGGGTGTGCAAAAGGTTTACTGGGGTGTAACATCATGCAGTGGAAAGGGCAGGAGTGGGCAGGGGGAGAGAGGAGATCTTGATGGAGGCCTGATGAAGTCTGTCGTAGCCCAGTAGGGAACTTGGGAGCAAAGGCTGCCCATCACAGGAGTCCCGCTCTAGGTGGAAATGGCCCTCGAACCACCGCCTTGCTTAATCATTGCTGGGCAGCCATCCCTAAAGAACGTGCCTTCAGATTGAAAGATGAGGGGACCCCGAAGATGCTGACCATTGCAGGCTATCAGCTAGTGAAGTGTGCAAGTCGCTCAGTCCTGTCCGACTCTTTGCGAACCCGTAGACTGGAGCCCACCAGGCTCCTCTGTCCATGGGATTCTCCAGGCCAGAATACTGGAGTGGGTGACCATTCCCTTCTCCAGGGGATTTTCCCGACCCAGGGATTAAACCCGGGTCTCCTGCATTGCCGGCGGATTCTTTACCGTCTAAGCTACCAGGGAAGCCCAGGCTGTCAGCCAACCACACTCCTTTCTGGAAGGAGGTCTTTGCGGCCCATCCTGGACAGGATGGTGGGCTTCCCATGGGAAAAAGAGGAGAAAAGAAGCAGGAAGCATCGAGTGGGATGACAAGGTGTGGTATTTGGGAAAACTGCGATTTAGGAAAGAATGAAGGATAAAATGCTGTCAAGTCAGAGGGGTGAGGGAGAAGCAGGATGCACTGCTTCCTGGATAGAGCTTCCAGAACCCAAGCAGAGAAGTCAAGGCGGGGCAAGAGAGGGGAGCCACGCCCAGGCGCTGGGAGCTGGGGGGCTGTGCCCGGAGCGCGTGGGCTCATGGGAAGGGGCGTGGCTTTCCCCATCTCGTGCAGGTGACCCAGCTGTTGCTCGGGGCTATCAGCTGTGCCCTTGGAGGCCTGCTCTACTTGGGACCCTGGATTCAGCTGCGGGCCTCGGGCTGTGCCTTGTGGGCAGGGTCTGTGGTGAGTAAGAAAGGGGTGATGAGTCTGCGGCCATACCATCCTGAACGCGCTCGATCTCATCTGACCTCGGACGCTAAGCAGGGTCAGGCCTGGCTAGTACTTGGATGGGAGGGAAGGGCTGTGAGCTCTTTGGGAGGCAAGTGGTCATGGACAAGGAGAAAGAAAGTTCCTCTGGATCTGGGTCAGGGATCAGGGGAAGAGACCACAGACCCAGCGACCAAATGCCTTATGTTATGAGGAGGCTGCTGGGATGAGATTTGTTGGATGGCACCACCGACTCGACGGGACATGAGTTTGGGCAAGCTTGGGAGATGGTGAAGGACAGGGAAGTCTGGCGTGCTGCAGTCCATGGGGTCGCAAAGAGTCGGACACCACTTAGTGACTGAACAACAATGATGAGGAGGCTGCCTTAGGGGGTGGGCAAAACCCTTCCACCCTCCGTTTTCCTCTTAAAGGCATGGCTGGGGAGAGTCAGGCAGTTGTGAGCGGAGTCCTGTCTGTCTGCTAGGTTCCTTTGCCTGGCTCTTGGATCCTGCTTCAAACTGGCTTCTCTGGGGCCTGTTGGGAGAAGTGTGATGGGAGACGGGCAACTGGAGGGCTTTTCTGGTGTCTTCTCTCCCTAGGCCGTTGCAGCAGGAGTTGGGGCCATTGTCCACGAGAAGCGTCGGGGCAAACTCTCAGTGAGCCAGGCATCCTCTGCCCCACCTTGCCCTCTGTCCCCCTACCACGTCTCTGTTTTCCTGCTCTATTTTTCTGTCTTCTCTCCTTTGGTTTCAAATATCCTAAGATCTTTCCTGGAGGGGTAGGGAGGGTTTATCCCAGGCCAGGAAGCTGGGGAAGAGGAGGTTGGTTTGAGCCCGGGACCCCACGGTTCTGCCATGCACGGAGGTGGACTGCCTCATGAACCTCTCTCTTCTAGGGCTGCGTATCAGGTCTGCTCACTCTGGCTGGCATTGCCACAGCCATGGCCGCTGTCGTCTTCTGTGTGAATAGCTTCATCTGGCAAGGTGATGGCTTTGACGACATCAGCTCCGTGTGTGATTCCTTAGTCCCTGTCACCCCCACCTCTTGGTACCAACGAAGAAGTTCCTACTCATCGTGGGAGGAGGAGAACTGCAGAAGATACATGCAAATGCTGATGGTGAGAAAGGAGAGTCAGTCTTTTAAGAACACATCACAGCTGTAAATTGGGGGACTGGGGCACCAGAGGGCAGAGATGGAGGCCCTCTGAGCATGGACGTCATCTGAGGTTGTTGGTTCAGGAGGTTTTAACTTAAATTGAAGACACCGTTCAGATCTCGGGGCATGATCATTCCCTGAATCAAAGGGGATGAGGAGCAAAGAGGAGACAGGATATCGTGAGCCAACCTTCTGTCTTTCCTGATGTGTGACTGCTGTCACTCATCCCCTGCCAGGGAACACACCGCCCCCAAAGGCAGTGACTTACCACTGCATTTGGTTAGTATGTCTCACATTCTGTGGACTGAAGAGGCTCACACGGGCAGTCCTCACTTGTGTTTTCTCAGGCAGTTGCAGTCATGGGTCAGTTGGGTGTGAAGTCATCCAAGAGCTTGGTTGGCTGGACTGCCAAGATGCCGCACTCACATGTCAGGGGGCTCAGTGGGGAGGTGGGGGGGATCAGCCAGGGAGGCTACAATGGCTTCTCCGTGTGGCTTGGGCAACCGGGTTACAATATGCAGCGTCCCACTGTGAGCATTTTTAAAACGTAGGCAATGGAAGCTGCCAGGCCCTAGAGTCACTTCCACTGTATTTCATTGATCAAAGCATTCCCAGGCTTTGATTCCAGATTCCAGGGGGTTGGGCGATAGTTTCCACCTCTTCACAGGGAGTGGTAAGGTCACCCTGCAGACAAGCAAATGGGATGGAGACTGGCTGCCTCTGTGGTTGGAAAATGCAGTCTGCATCTGGGTGAGAAGGAGTTAGTTGAACAGACTCTGATACCTCCTCGCAAGATGAGAGTAACAGAGGAATCACAGGAGCTGACTCCTGACTGTAACTTTTTTTCCCCCTTTATCTTCAGGATCTGTTCCTAGGAATCCGTGCTCTGCTCCTGGCTATCTGTATCCTGCAGGTCATTGTGTCCTTGGCTTCCCTGGGCGTGGGTCTTCGAAGCTTCTGTGGCCAGAGCTCCCGAGCCCTGGTGAGCTGTTAGGGAGAAAGATCCCCTGGAGGAGGAAATGGCAACCCACTCCAGTATTCTTGTCTGGAGAATCCCAGAGACAGAGGAGCCTGGCGGGCTACGGTTCACGGGGTCGCAAAGAGTCAGACACGTCACACAGCGAAAGGGCGAGTCTGGCCAGTGTGGCCCTAGGGAGAGACAGCGGGGCAGGAACACGGCTGAGCAGTGGTCGTGTTCCCCTCACTCAGCCCTTCCCTTCGCTGTCTCGGGAAGGTGACCCCAGCACTTCGTCCTGGGTTAACATCTGCCTCCCCCACTTCTTTGCTCTCAGTTCTCCACTTTCTCTCTTTTCTGGCCTAGATCTTGTCTCGCTCCCCTTCTTCCATCACCTTTTCCTTCCCTCCTTTTTCCTTTGCCTGATTTCCAAATGGAGCTGACTCTGTCCCATCCTTTTCCTCCCGAGAATTGATTTTCTTCCTCTCTCTGTGTGTTTTTCTTTCCCAGCAGGATGAGGAGGGGTCAGAGAGGAATCTGCTGGGGGAGAATTCAGTGCCTCCCTCCCCCTCCAAGGAGAAGACCACAGCTGTCATTGTCCTGTGAGCAGTCAGAGATCCTTGCCTGGACCCTGCATGTCCCTCCCGAGTAGCGCAGGGCCCCTCAGCGCCCTGTCCTGCAGACTTGCTTCTGCTTTTCTTTCCCCACCTTCACCCACTGTGGCCACTCCAGGGTCCTCCATCAGTGAACAGGTATTGCCACATTTCCCTCAGTGCTGATTAAACAGAAGCAACCCCAGAGAATGATTTTGTGCAGAAAAGATGTAGTCTTCTTTTGTTAATATACCTGGTGCATTGATACTCATGGAATTAAATGAGAATTACGCGTGAGATCCAGCCAGTCCATCCTAAAGGAAATCAGTCCTGAATACTCATTGGAAGGACTGATGCTAAAGCTGAAACTCCAATACTTTGGCCACCTGATGTGAAGAGCTGACTCTTTGGAAAAGACCCTGATGCTGGGAAAGATTGAAGGCTGGAGGAGAAGGGGACGACAGAAGATGAGGTGGTTGGCTGGCATCACTGACTTGATGGACATGAGTTTGAGCAAGCTCTGCGAGCTGGTGATGGGCAGGGAGGCCTGGTGTGCTGCAGTCCATGGGTTTGCAAAGTGTTAAACACAACTGAGTGGCTGAACTGACTGACTGACGTATCATATGGAAACCGGGTCTGAATAAGACTAAATTTTCGTTCTCCTCTATATCCCAAGTGCAAAGTCTCCTTTTGACCATTTCCTTCTGTTCAATGTAAAGTGAAAATAGCTATCATAGACTTAGGGTCTTTTTGCCTATTGTCTTTAAGCATCTATAATGGATCTGTGGGCTTTACAGAGCCATGAGAGACAGGGACCAAGATCATTGCCTCCCTCCCTCCCTTTCTTCCTTCCCTTCCTCTTCCTCCCCCTCCGTCTTTTTACTTTCTTTCCTTCCTCCCTCCATCCCTTCCTTCTTTTCTTTTTCTCTTTCTCCATCTCCTTCTCTTCTTTTTTGCAGTAATTACTGTTGGTTCTCTTGCTACACACACACCACACACACACATACACCTGTTATTCACCTCTCATGGTAAATGATATGACTGATAAGCTTTTTATTTTTTAAATTTTCTGTGTACAATATAAATACATAGATATAAGCATTTCTGTTATGGAACCGGGTTCATTTGTCCAATGTGCAGCAAGCATCACCAAATGCCAAGATGCTGAAGTTTGCATCAGAGAAGGCGTTTACTCATGAGATAGCCAAGTGAGGAGACGGGAGAATGAATCTCCAATGTGCCTCCTGAAGGTGAGGGGCTTGAAGTCTTTGTGGGGTAGAGAAACAGGGTGGCCTTAAGTGTGGAGAAAGGTGACTGCAATTGGGAAAGGTGAGGTAGCTGGCACTCTGTACCAGTGTGTCTGGTTTATGGGCTTCGTCATGGGATGCATGTCCAAAAACGGAGGCACTAGCATGTCCAGAAGGTGGAGTTTTCTGATGTCAAAAGGTCATGCACTGGACCCTCGTGCAGGCTGAGTTTTAGGGTTGGTGGTCCCAATCTGTCTTAGCCAGCTTGAACTGGACAGGGACTGACTGCAAGTCCTGGAAAACAACTTACGCCATGTTTACTGCAAGCTTCCCTTGTGGCTCAGAGGGTAAAGCATCTGCCTGCAGTGCAGGAGACCTGGGTTCAGTCCCTGGGTCAGGAAGATCCCCTGGAGAGGGAAATGGCCACCCACCCCAGTATTCTTGCCTGGAGAATTCCATGGACAGAGGAGCCTGACAGACCAAAGTCCACGGGATCGGAAAGAGTCGGACACAACTGAGCGAGTAACACTTCTGCCAGCCTTACAGGGCACGGTTTCATTTCTGAGGGGTGAAAAGGCATGCCATGATCTGAGAATTAAGACATCATAGGGATTCTCACATTTTTCTGATTCCAACATAGTGAGGGCGCTTGCATTTCCATTGTGACTTGATGACATCTCTGACAGGTAGGTTTTATTCCTACCTCTTAGCACACTCATAGCAGAGGAACTGTCTGGGCACCCCCATGTCTACCCACTGCACAGTCCTGCCCCACGACGTGGTGCTGACGGGGACAGAGCTGCTGGGATGAGTGAGGCGTGGCCTCACCGTGGGAGCTTCAGGACAGAACCTAAGATGCCCGTGAGAGGAGGCATCTTTCTTATTTGTCTTAAGATGCTGTTAAGGTGCTTCAGTTCAGTTCTGTTCAGTCGCTCAGTCATGTCCGACTCCTTGTGACCCCATGAATTGCAGCACGCCAGGCCTCCCTGTCCATCACCAACTCCCAGAGATTATGCAAACTCATGTCCATCAAGTCGGTGATGCCATCCAGCCATCTCATCCTCTGTTGTCCCCTTCTCCTCCTGCCCCCGATCCCTCCCAGCATCAGGGTCTTTTCCAATGAGTCAACTCTTCACATGAGGTGGCCAAAGTATTGGAGTTTCAGCTTCAGCATCAGTCCTTCCAATGAACACCCAGGACTGATCTCCTTTAGGATGGACTGGCTGGATCTCCTTGCAGTCCAAGGGACTCTCAAGAGTCTTCTCCAACACCACAGTTCAAAAGTATCAATTCTTCGGCACTCAGCTTTCTTCATAGTCCAACTCTCACATCCAGACATGACCACTGGAAAAATCATAGCCTTGACTAGATGGACCTTTGTTGGCAAAGTAATGTCTCTGCTTTTTAATATGCTATCTAGGTTGGTCATAACTTTCCTTCCAAGGAGTAAGCGTCTTTTAATTTCATGGCTGCAATCACCATTTGCAGTGATTTTGGAGCCCAGAAAAATAAAGTCTGACACTGTTTCCACTGTTTACCCATCTATTTCCCAGGCTGTTAATTTCTGTGCTTTAGTATTTCTAAACCAGCTCTTTTATGGCTAGATGGGATAGAAATTGTTTTCATATTTCATTCTGGTAAATAGAGCTCAGCTTCCTAGTTTGTTTCTTTTGTTGCTGTTTTTCTAGCACAGAGCGATCTCTTACTGTCAGAGTCTGGCAGCTTCCTTTTGCTTCCCCTGATGTTTCTAAGTTTCTGAGGGAGGAGCTCGATCCCCCATTTCTTCTCTTCCATACCCCTCCCCACCCCCACCCTCCTGCCCCTCACCCCGTGAATAGCCTTGGAAGTTTCATAATCTTCGTTTTTCTTTCCCGTAGGAAATCACATTCCATTCTGCTCTCCTTGCTTTTGTTTACTTGGAAAACCCAGCAGCTGTCTGTTTGCACAACTCAGTCTTGGGGACCAAACTGTGTATTTGCAACTGACTTCACAACCCTGGCCCATGATCTGGCAATTAATCCCGAGCATATGTGGATTTACTGAAGGGTTTAAACTATTCCGAGTGTAAACAGGAGAAAATAGTTCTATTTTTCTTTTCTGATCACTAGTTTTCACTGTGTTTTGTCAACCCCCTGATTCCCCACTGGCTATTGGTCCTTTACCCTTGGCACCAGCATTCAGATTCCACAACCTGGTATTTGAGACCCTGTTCTACATTTCATGATGGTTTACGGGCAGTAGTTTCCAAGCTGCTTTATGGGGTATTAGAGCCACCCCAAAGCCTGCTTCAGGGCTGTTGGGATATAAGTGTTGGGGTGCTGGCTGGAGGGCTCTGATGCCTCCAACCCCCTTCAGCTAGAGCTGAACATCACTTGTTAGAATATAAAGTGTTCTCTTACTTGTGGAAAGAGTTCTGTATTTTAAAAGCTCTTTAATAATCAACTATATATATGTGTGTGTGTATGTATGTGCATATATATATACACACACATACATATAAGTATGTATGCTTCCCTGGTGTTGTTAGTGGTAAAAAAAAAACTGCCTGCCAATGCAGCAGATATAAGAGACATGGGTTCAATCCTTGGGTCGGGAAGATCACCTGGAGGAGGGCATGGCAACCCACTCCAGCATTCTTGTCTGGAGAATCCCATGCACAGAAGAGCCTGGCAGGCTGCAGTCCACAGGATTGCAGAGTCGGACAAGACTGAAACAACTTAGCGCATGCGTACACGCACGCACGCACACACACACATGCGGGGCTTGCTTCCCAGGCAGCTCAGTGGTGAGGAATCCACCTGCCAATGAAGGAGACACTGGTTCGACCCCTGAGTCGGGAAGATCCCCTGGAATAGGAAATGACAACTCTCTCCAATACTCTTTCGTGGAGAGTTCCATGGACAGAGGAGCCTGGTGGACTAGAGTCCATGGGGTCACAGAGAGTTGGACACGCCTGAGCCTGAGGGCACTTAAATAAAAGATCCATGTCTAAAACTGCAATCATCAGAGCTAGGGTCCCCTCCCAGAGGAGACAAGCATTTGCACCAGGAAGGTTAGGGTTAGGAACGTCTGTCCTAGCGTGTGGCTCCTCCCTCTCACTGTGATTTCTTCAAGTGATTCCAGCAGGAGGCAGGGGAGGGGATGGGAGTTTCTTGGCTGTGGGGAGGACCAGTGGCTGTTTGCCAGTGTGATGTGGGTGATGTCCATTCTTGCTCCACCTGGGAAGAACCTGGGAGTTTCCCCACCCTCTGCTCTGCTAGTTGCCTGGCTCAATGAGGAAGATGTCCTGGAAAAGTATGTCCAAGGAGACAGTTGTGAGGTGCCAGGGAGGGGAGGGCTTTCCTGCAGTAGGAGGGTTAATTTACTATTTCTTGCCCCTTCAGAGCTATTTCAGTGGATGGGATAAAGCTGCAGTACCCCAAACTCCACAAAGAAGGTCCTGGTGCCTCAGATTCAAAGGAAAGCTAACAAAAATGGTTGCATTTAAGTTTTATGGAAAACTACCAACTTAATTTAAAAAAAAATCCTTTCTGAAGTAGGAAGCAGACATTAGGAAACAGTGTTCCTTTCCCCCAGTAGATACTGCTGTGAACTTCTTCAGCATTTACTGGTTAGTTTGCTTCCATCTTCAGCTCCCCACCAACTCCTCATTCAAGAGGAATTCTGCTTTGCTAGTGGTTTCCGTTGAAATCTTTCATTTTTTAAAAGCATGTGCACTTAACTAAGCAAATTCTAAAGGTTATTAATATCCTTATCTTCTACCTGAAGAATACTATGCCTTTAGAATGCTCTTTGTTAAGTGATATTCTTATCTTGAATTCTAGTTTTATCTTGATTTATTTTAACTCCCCAGGTTAGATTAAAAAATATATATATACTCAGTGTTTGTTTAAATTTACTTGATTTTTTGTTAGGGAAAAAAAGAACCCTCATTTTCTTCTTCTAGTTCAGGCTTCCTTTCTGATATCCTTTTTCTTTTCTTTTTTTTTTTTGAGGTACATTCTTTAAATGTTTCTTTTTTTTAAAAAATTATTTATTTTAATTGGAG